TTTAAAAAAAAAAAAAATCTGTGGAAATCACTGCTGTGGCTTCTATGACCTTTCCTGGCAGCAGACATTTCCCTTCAGATTATTCTGGAACAATAACACAGCAGCAGAAACCAATAGCCACTGAAACCAGTTCTCCATTTGCTGTCTCCAGAAAAAGATTCCACCCTAATATTATCTGAATGTGGAATGCAGCAGGTATAAATGGGAGCATTGAAAAGCATACTTAGTCATCTTGACTTCTTTGTCCATGCATTTCTTTTCAGTCTGGATGGAAATGAAAACTGATGAGCTTCATTTAGTTCTGTGTTTCATTCATTATTAAATGCATGCAGATTTATTAAAATGTAATATAATTGGTTCTTGGGCAACCATTCCTATACTAACCTTCCCCAGTTTGATGTCTTCCAGATATATTTGCTGCTTAGAAATTATTACTGTTTAAATATTTAAAGTGCTTCAGAAGTTGCTCTGGGAAAATTTTTGTTTTGAAGAATAGTTATCAATTTTATATCATAATCACAGTAATAAGATAAATCCCAAACATTCTCAGATAGTATAATTGTAGAATTATCACATCTGGAGAACACTAGGTTGAGAAAGTTTTCCTTTATTGTGGTGATTATGAATTTCCACAACAAGGATGGATCTTCCCTGAACCAACCAAAGCAATCCATTGAGACTCACCTGCAAGTGCTACTTTTCTGCATGACGTCAGCTCGATGGTATCCAGAGAGTTTACAGAAACCGTCATTACTATAAACTACAGGCCAATCCACAATCTGAGCATTGCCCAATAAAAAACTTGATTCTGAAATGAAAGAAAGAAAGCAAGCAAAATTAACTTCCTCATATAAAGAAATCATCCCAACGATCGATGGTAGCACTCTAGAACAGTGTTTCTTAACCTCAACAACTTTAAGATGTGTGGACTTCAACTCCCAGATTTCTTAAAGTTGCTGAGGTTGAGAAACACTGCTTAGAAGAACCATTGTTGGTGCCTACATATAGTTCTGGAAGATATTATTCAAGGCAATAAAAAGTGAAATCCATGATAAAATGTTGCAACATGGAATGCTCATGTTCAGAATTCAAGCAAGCTGCACCCTTCTCCTGTGTACTCCATTCCATTCCCTTCCACCTCATTTTTCCATTCCCATCTCCAACAGCCCATCAACATTCTCAGTCTCTGAAGATGCTGTTTTGAGGTTTAATTCCCTTTGATATTCTTTTTTAACTTAACTTAGTTGTGGGGAGGCAATATTTCTACATATTCAAACTTGCTTATCCCTTCTTTTTATGTACGGAAAAGGCTGTTTGGATTACATATGGGTTAGAATTTAACGGATGAGTTTGTTATCAGTCCAGTCTGTCGGTAATGTTAAGAAGATAATTGTGAGCATAGGATGAACCATGGAGTAACTGCTCCCAGCAGCCACCTGTTAGAGGCAGGACACCGTTAACATAACAATTTTGAAGAAAAAATAAAAAGAGGCAGCAGCGGGAAAGAATAAAAATAAAATATTCCTGATTAGGGACTGATTGATTATGTGCCATCAAGTTAACCACATGATCAAGATTTTCTCCATGATGATCTGTCCCTAACCTGGTCCTTCAAGTCTTCCAATAGTGCACCCATCACCATTGTAACTCAGTCCACCCACCTTGCTGCTGGTCATCCTTTTCTTCTCTTTTCTCCCACCAATCCCACTGTTAGAGCCTTTCCCAGAGAGCTGGGTCTTCACATAACGTGTCCGAAGTAGGATAATTTGAGACTGGTAATTTGTGCCAAGTGAGAATTCTGGGTTGATTTGTTCTATAATTCATTTGTTTGTTGTCTAGGCTGTCCATGGTATTGTCAGGAGTTTTCTCTAACCCCAGATTTCAAAAGCACCAAGTGATGGAGGACTTGGATAAGGAGGTTCAAGGACAGAAGCATTTCCTCAGCCCACAGCCTGAGCCTGGGAAAGTGAAGAGGATGAGACTGGCACCACCCTAAGGAATTCATAGTGTTTAGTTGCAGGCTTTGGGAGTTTAGAATCAGTCTGGCGAGACTGATGTCAAGTTCAGCCCAAGAAACTCCACGAGACAGTACTGGAACAGCTCAGTTACTTTATTAGCTCGCACCTGCTAGACAGAATCTAACGCCACCAAATAATCAACAAAGCAATTTGAAGGTGGGAAGGAAAACATAGAAGCATG